CGAGCGAGGGGTCTCCGTGTAACCGGCCGCCCCGCCCCAGAGTTGGCTGCATTCCTATTTAATCCTTGTGTCACCTGGGATCTGGCCTCTGGGAGTTTATCTGGGTGAAAGGTTTTGTTATTGTGGGATGAGTCACGGGACACAAGTATTTAGAGGAAAGGTGACAGCCGAGCTGGGGGGGGCGCGGGACCAAGGGAGGCTTAACTATCTGGCCTGGTCCCCTGAGAACAATGCCAGCCCCCCCCCCCCCCCCCCCCCCCCCCCCCCCGGCCCCCCCCCCCCCCCCCCCCCGCCCCCCTACTGACGCCCCCTGTCCCCCCCCCCACACAGGCTGTGCTGGATAAGGCTGGGGCAGGGACGGCTTCCCAGACTGTATCCAAGAGCAAGTCCCTGCCAGAGGTACGTCTGCCCCACCCCCAAACCCCGCTCAGGGTCCCCGGGGTGGGGAAGGGGTTTGTGGATCTGGTCTCTCCTTTGACCTCATTCCCCACCCCCATTTGAGGGGGATCGTGGGGTGGGTTCCCAATTCTCCCCGCCGGGGTCTGATGTGGGGGCCCCCTCTCTGGTTGGAGAGGAATTGGCAGTGCTTGCTGGTGTATGGGGGGTTTGCCCCCCCATTTCCCCCTGGTTCAAGGTGGAGTTCGAGGGTCCCAAAGGGGAGGGACAAGACCCCAGTTGCCACCCCTCACTCTGTTCCCCCCCACACACCCCAGGAGTCGAAGTCTTTTGCCATGGGGATGTTCCAGGGTCGGATGAGCACGGAGCAGGTGTTCCCCTACCCTTCAGGTAAGGGGGAGCTGGTGTGGGGGGAGTCCTGGGGGGTGGGGAGCTCGCTGCCCCCATGGTGCGCTGGGAGGAGGCGAGGCTGCGAGGAGCTGCCCCATTGGCTTGGGGGGTGACTCCAAGGGGGGAGGAAAGGGAAGTTGGAGGCAGGGAGCTTGAACCCCCCCCAACTCCATTGGTTCCCCCCCATCACTCACCGCCTGACTCTTCCCCCGCCCCCCAGTGCTGACCGAGGAGCAGGTGCAGTTCCTGAAGGAGCTCGTCGGACCCGTCAGCCGTTTCTTCCAGGTGAGGGGGGATGAGTTAGGGGGCTGGGGTTGTTTGGGGGGACTGAAAGGGAAGGCCTGGAATAAGGGGAAGGGGTTGAGTTGGGGGCTGGGGTTGTGTTTTGGGGGGCTGTGGGGAGGGGAAGGGGCTGAGATTGGGGGGAAGGGCTGAGTTGGGGGGCAGGCTGGAAGGCCAGCGGGAGACCAGCCAGGTCTGAGTTTGGGGGCGTTGGGGGGGGCTGGGGGGCAGGTGAGGGGGCAGTGGCCTGGATGGGGGTCCCTCCCTCGGACTCCCCCTCTCTCCCCCCCGCCCCCAGGAAGTGAACGACCCGGCGGCGAACGACTCGCTGGAGCGGGTGGAGGACCGGACCATGCAGGGGCTGAAGGAGCTGGGGGCCTTTGGGCTGCAGATCCCCCCTGAGCTGGGGGGTCTGGGGCTGAGCAACACCCAGGTGAGACACCCCCCTCCCCATTCCACACACCCCTGACCTAGCCGCTGCCCCCTAGAGGGGAAGGGCCCCGCCTCCCGCCCCCTGCGCTCACCCCTTTCCCCGCAGTACGCCCGGCTGGTGGAGATCGTGGGTCTGCACGACCTGGGCGTGGGGATCACGCTGGGGGCCCATCAGTCCATCGGCTTCAAGGGGTTGCTCCTCTACGGGACGCCCCAGCAGAAGGAGAAGTACCTGCCCCGGCTGGCCACAGGTGAGGGGCGCTGGGGGGGGCTACATAAGAACGGCCGTACTGGGTCAGACCAAAGGTCCATCCAGCCACTGATGGACCCGTCCTCCATGAATTTCTCTAGTTCTTTTTTGAACCCTGTTCTCGTCTTGGCCTTCACAACATCCAGTGGCGAGGAGTTCCACAGGTTGACTGTGCTCTGTGTGAAGAACAACTTCCTTTTATTTGTTTTAAACCTGCCACCCATTAATTTCATTGGGTGGCCCCTAGTTCTTATATTATGGGAACAAGTAAATAACTTTTCCTTATTCCCTTTCTCCTCATCACTCATGATTTTATAGACCTCTCTCATATCCCCCCTTAGTCTCCTCTTTTCCAAGCTGAAAAGTCCCAGCCTCTTTAATCTCTCCTCATGTGGGACCCGTTCCAAACCCCTAATCATTTTAGTTGCCCTTCTCCGAACCTTTTCTAGTGCCAGTAGATCTTTTTTGAGATGAGGCGACCACATCTGTACGCAGTATTCAAGATGGTGGCGTCCCATGGATTTAGATAAGGGCAATAAGATATTCTGCGTCTTCTTCTCTATCCCCTTTTTAATGATTCCTAACATCCTGTTTGCTTTTTTGACTGCTGCTGCACACTGCGTGGACGTCTTCAGAGAACTATCCACAATGACGTCAAGATCCCTTTCCTGATGCGTTGTAGCTAAATTAGCCCCCATCATATTGTATGTATAGTTGGGGTTATTTTTCCCAATGTGCATTACTTTAC